TTGATACATCACTTTGTTACTGTTTGATTATCACTGTAGTTTTTAATTCAACCATCTTTTAGACTTGAAAGACAGAAAGTTCGTCCTTTATAACATTAAACAAGAGTAATAAACATTGCTGTATAATTCTCTGGCTTTGTTTTTAATTTCATTCTTCAATAAATAGATTGAAGTCAATAATAATAGTTGTTCTTAATTTAGAAGGTCTGTAAAGATTGTTGGATTTCATAGTTCAGATCACAGAATGACTGTAGTTAGATAGCCATTAAAAATCGGGGAATACTGGACGGTTGTTTTGTCCTATTACGGAACTCCCCAACAGTACATACATACACGGCCCAACTGGAGAGTTAAACCATGATCCGCAGGTTTTTCAGTTAGCACGTAACCCTTCAATAACTAAGCTGGTATCCAAATATTTAACTTTCTTAATCCGCGATATTTTTACATGTAAATCATTGGATTCCAACTCCGTGGTCCCATCGTTAGGTGTTCATCACATAACCTGTAGGTCCTGGTTTCGGTTTTCAGTGAGGCCATGGATGTATACTGGTGAGGAGTTCAAAATTTGGACTAAATAGCTATCCAGTGCTTCCTGGGTTTGAACGTATGTCTGATAAAGATCACTCTCTGATATGGACAATAGTTACTTATTAGTTGTCATTCATGTCATATTATGCACCCTATTTTAGTTCCGTAAAAGGACTCGATTGCTAATTCTTTTTGATTATGACTACTGGATAATATTTTATTTAAATTTTCGCCTCATATTTAGTAGCTTTGAGAAGCATCTGACACATTTATGACATGAGTTCAGTAGATAACTGGTATAAACTTTTTTGGCCTAATACAATCAATATTTTACATTTCATTTTGTGAAATATTTAAAAGTAGATTCGGCTTTTTCCTGCTTTAGAATACTTAATATAAACTTATTCTCCATATCTAATAAATTTTATTGTTTGTTTTTTTACGTATAATGTTTATTACAGTTATAACGAAGTATGATGTATGGTTGTATGATCGATTGGCTGATTTGATATAAATAATATATGCCGAATGATCATTTACAATGAAGTTATATTATTGACGAAACATCCAGAAAAAATGATTGTAAAATAAGTAGAACTGATCAGTAAAGAAAGGGTTGTTTTATATGGTATTAAATATGCACTTATAAATCACATATTTCACACAGAACTAAACAAATGATTGTAGGTTTCGGATTTTGTAGATCATTTACCACCCAATGATACTGGAATTTGACTGCCATGCTTATTTTTTTGACTGACATGTCAATATCTTCATAAGTCTAAAGATATTCAAAAGAAAGTAGGCTTGATAAAACAATCCTTTTAAATTACTTAGTCATCGGACTTTATAATTATAAATCCATCATTATTGTCTTGCAATGTCCAAAATAAGAACTATGTAAATAAGTGAATTAAACAGTGTTATATATTGAAAATAGTGAACTTTTGAACCAGTTAAGTTTTAACTAGGTCAATAATGTCAATTTCATGTATTAAGATATATGTTATTTAAAACTGAGATGAATGAATATGGAAATTAAGGGTATAGGAGAGCAGAAATAAACATGAAAAGGAGTTAGAAGTAAGGGTCTCTTATATGATTTTAGTGCGAGATGAAGCAATCATCGATTATGGTAAGCAGAACGGTTGAATATACTTCTTTTAATGCATAAGTTCAGTTGTTTGGACTTAATGCTATTGATTTGTCCTATGTAAAAGAGGCGTAATCATGCTTTTTTAGATAGATTGTTTGGGACATGATACAGGACCAAGAAGGCTTCATCGATTTTTACATAATGTCCTCGATCTATTAAGTGAGAAAGTATAGTTCTGTTGATTGACTTTATTACTGAATATCCTCACTATATCGGTATATTTTCTAGAACACAAAAATAGGCGTCTCTGAGTACGGCCTAAGTAACTAGCACTATGAGAGCCATAAAACTGGTATACATGCATGTAAATTAAGTTGAGTTGGATTATATAACACTGATTTTGTTGTTTTAATATAAAAATTCACTCAAGTCAATATACATTTATACCATTTGTAATATAGACACATGATAATAGTTGTTTTGTAATAAAAATACTGTAACAAAACTAAATATTCATAAACGGATAACAGTTATAGTCAGAAGTACATAATTTGACGATGTATATTATTGTTATTGTGTGTGTTTATCATTTATATCATTTGCTTTTGTTTCGTCGCTAAGGCGTGATATTGAAACAATTTTATATTGAATAATGTCTCATACTTATAGTAGCCTAATTTATAGAAATTACATTGAAGTAACAATTAGATTGTTGTTGTGCTCACATGGAAGCAGAAAGACTGAAAAAAAACCTTGTAACTCCCCTCACATTCTCCTTGATTCTCTGAAGCCTACATGGAATGATGCATAAAGAATACATGTTATACGTCAGTTCAAAACTATTTTTCCTAGGATACTGTTATGGTTGGTGATTTCAGTAGTATATATTTACATATATGTATAAAAGATAGATTTTTTCATGTGATATTTTTGCATACCTTTTTGTGACGGTATAATTTGCAAAAAATTATGTTGATAATACTCCGTACTACTTATTTTTGAAGCTATATATTTATTTTTGCTCATATATATTGCTTTCATTACATACAAAACAATAGCATTTAAAGCAGATCGGTGTGTTTGTGTGTGCATACTGGATGAAAAGTAAAATATGATAATGGAATCACTCTATTGTTAAAATTTAAACAATAAACAAAAATGGATACAAGTAAACAACATTATTTTTACCGATGAATTCTTTGTTTCAAAATTTCTCCCTGTTGTTTTATTCGATAATAAACTTTTAAGTGTGTATAAGTGTTGCGTGGTTGAGTAGGTGTAGACTGGACATACACCCACAACATATGATTGATAAATCTCGATATGGGATGAAATAATTGTCCAATGCTTTCTCTCTTTCTGTGTGTGTGTTGTCGAAAAATAGTTCACCAAGTGATGTTAGTTCTCGTAAATAGCTTTCTTCTCACTGAGAAAATATTTGAAACTTTCTCTAAAAGATTGCTAATGTATCTTATCGCATCAAAAGTTTACTGAAGAACCTTGTATACCGTCATGCTTGAACCAATAATATGAGTGCCCTGAGTGAGTGGTATGATTTGTGAACGCTGTTGGCCTTCGTAGAGTTTCTTACCTAACCCGAAGTCAGTGAATACGACAGCTCATGTATCTATAAGTGACTCAAAAATTCACATCATTGAATAGACGATTCACACGATGAAGTAGAAGTATAGATGGAAAATGCCAATATATTAGATACTAACATATTACGGTTCTATATCTGAACAGTTCATTTATAATTAATTTCTAATAATCTGAGAGCAGAATATAACTTTACTACGGTTAATAAGTAAAATGGTTTTCAGCGTTTATCTAAGATCAGTCTATATTGTAGACTATGCAGAAAAAAAATTTACAAAACAGTCAATCTGCATATGTAGTTCAGCTACAGATAATAATTTAATAATTGAATTTTGGAATTGTTATCATTTTTTGTTAAGCATACATCCATTTTTGAAGTAATTTCTGGTTGATCAAACTACTTATATGGTATACTTGTTTTGTGTTTTTCGTTCTTATTTGTCTATTGCTTTGTTCTTGTAAAACATCTTTTTTATCCTTTGATTTATTTTAAGATAATTGATTGTACTGAAGTGATTCAGGCGACACAGTTATGACTTTTTGACTTACTATAACATTTTTTAAAGTGTGTTACATTGTAATTTTTTCTCCGAAACTCATTAAATTGCTTTTTGGTTGAACCAATACTAAACTAACCTTGATCGAAGAGGAAGGACATAATACCAATGATCATCAGTTCAAGATCGTTTTTATATTCTAGACAATTATGTCTTATATACAAGTAGACCAGACCATATTACATCTTAAAGGAAGTAATAATTATATATGATCGAGCGAAAAGTGACTGTGAGTAGGGGAAACTGAATAATAAACTGGAAATGTATTAAGAATAGTAATTCGTTTAACAGCTGTTAATGGGTCAACCGAAAGCTTATAACACAAGGAATATGAATATATAATAATCTGGTTACTTAATAATCACGTAACAAGAATATATATATATATATATATATATATATATATATATATATATATATATCACAAGAGAAACGTTAGAATTGCTCGATTTCAATCGCTCGAGTGTTTACGAATATATTTATATACTTAATATTACGATTAAATTAAATTAATTCTATCAACTTAAAGGATTATTTTTGTGGATATATTGTTATTTTTAGTATCGGTGAATTGCGGGGGTTGTTGAATCTTTATAGTTTTACATCATGAACTGATCTTAGTCAAATAGATGTTGAAGGACAGGAAAACTAAGTAGTTTTATTTTTGCATAGATCCCTTCAGCAGTACGCATCCACGATCTCACTGGATACTTTTACCGAGACAAAACAGCTAAGAAATACTACATAGATCTCAATAACTGTCTAATTAAGATCAGTCAGTCGTATTAAACTATGCATATTGCCATCCCATTTGGATTGTTATATTCCCAATAATATATGTTTTGAATTTCATCTTAAACACTTAAATTTTATGATACTTAGTAATTAAGACATGATTACATCTTTCAAATAGTTTACTTCTACTCAAATCCTAATATAAGCCATGGCCGATCTTAAGAAGTCGAACTTTCTCTCACTTCATTATTCTAAATCCAACTGTAAAGATAATTACCACGAACATGTAATTAAGTAGTTTAAATACATTGAAATACACTAAACTCAGTTATCATTATATAAAAACTAATTAATTGGAGGTATAAACTTTTTTATCTTCAGTCATTCGTTTTTGCTGTGTATTGTTGTTTGTGTTATAAGTTAATTTTCTCTATTTTCAATTTACTAAATACAAATGTTTTCTACAACATTCTTTTTTCTAGGGAAAATGGACAAAATGCTGCTTTACAAGATACACATCATAATCAGGTTAGTAATGTGTTAGTTTTCAAAGTGCCTCCCTATCTCTCTCTCTCTCCCTATATATATTAGTTACATTTATATCCACCTGTGATAAATTATTAACAGCTTTGATCAACAGAAACTTACTTGACCAGATAGCTGGTTAGTGGAGGTCAGTATTAGTTCCAGGACAAATTATTTGTATCTATTCAGACTTCCACATTTTTCATTAGGACAGTGCAAGAAAACTAGTATGAAAGAAACAGAATCAACAGAATCATACAAATGTTAATCATAATAACAATAAGAGGTCTTGTGGATTGAACGATACTTGTTATATCTGATCGTTGCTGATTGTTATATAGGAAACGCTTATTACTTATACTCAAAATGAGGAACCTCTGCAATTCCCACGCTGCGTGTATAAGAACACAAAGACTGGTATAAGTGATGATTCATTAACCATCAAAACACGACAACGACGACTGTAGTAAAAAATACACTCATTTATATATTGATTCGTACACTCATTTTTCATTAATAATTAGGATGAAATCACATCTATGAAAAATACTTAGAATTATAACAAATCACAAACTGAGCATAGTTTATGTGAATGGAATACAAGAATAATGTATTTCATAGAGAATAAAAGATCACACTGGAAAACAGAAACAAATACTACATTGAGTAACCATCACATTGAATTAAAACGGAAATAATGTTGAACAAAACTTATAATGAGCAAACCGATCAAATGTTAACTTTTCTTCCCGTTATATCATATCATGTGAAACTCGTAAATTGTGCTATACACGTATCTTCTTGTTAAATAGTTTATTTTACAACTTAAAATTTTTTTATTATTTGTGTTTGTGTGTTACCGTTGCTAATATTAAACATTAAAATTGATTAGTGTTGTTACTTAAGTCCTACTCTTATTATTTGAAATCAGTAACCGCTGCAATGTTTACGATACAAAATAAGAATATGAAAACAGATGCAGTTAGAGAGTTTATTGACTGACCCTCAAAAACAATTCATTTATGTAATGCACTTTTTACACACATTTATTGATTATTTAAGAATATAACATTTAGAAATAAAATACACTGAGGTTCTGCAAAATATATATACTGGATGTAGTTCACACTGAATTTTATATAGAGAATTGTCTCTTTATTGACATTTAGCTCCAAGTTTTTACAAAAACCGAATAGTGACTAAAATTTGAATTCAGGACATATGTTTCGTCTTATTTGAGACTAGTCAGTTTTCTTCTTTAGCATCATCAACTGGAAACTAAAGATAGTTACAAATAAATTTCATACCGATCTCACAAGCTAGTGATTATCTAGACTCAGTGGATAATACATTTGATGTTTGAAACGTAAGGTACATGATTTGAATTTTAATGTGAACTTTAACATTAGGATTCACTTACATTCAATTGAAGAATCACAAGTGGAACAAAACTCCTCTGTTAGATTCCACTGTCAACCACAATATTAACTTAATAACAAATAATTTGAGTAGTAATAATAGAATAATAAATTATTCTATTAAATGATTTACTGATTTTATTTGTATTTCCACACACACAAATCATTTAAACCAAATTCATATACAATCTATTCACATCCAAATTTTTCAATGTTGCTACATTTCTTTTTGCTTAACTTGTAGTGTTTTTTCCTTATACCATTTTGAACACTTTAAAAATCACTGTAAATGACATATGTGTGTGTATTAAAAGGACGTGTTTTAAATAATCCAATAACTTATAGATGTATATATTTTTCGGGCAAATAATTATGTAATAGAAGGGGTTTTGTGGAGATTTTAGAAATTTCACTAATTGAAATCATGAGTCAGTTGAAGCTAGACCATCATGAAAAACCTGGTAGCACTGGACGGCCGTTTTGTCCTAGTATGAGACTCCTCAGCAATGCTCATCCACGATCCCGCGTCCCGCGCGATTCGAACCCAGGACCTATCAGTCTCGAGGGTGGAGTCCCATACTAAGACGAAACGGCCGTCCAGTGCTTCCATGGTGGTCTAGCTTCAATTGACTCATGATTTCAATCAGTGAAATTATGTAACATTTATGTATGAAAAAATTATTGACTCATTGGTTTCTGTTTTTTCTTCTTTTAATTTGAAAATTTTCAATTCATCATATTATGTAATTATTGTACAATGAAAATTACATAATTGATAATTGACTAATAATAATAATAATAATAATAATAATAATAATAATAATAATAATAATAATAATAATAATAATAATAATAATAGTAATAATAATAATAATAATAATAATAATAATAATACGGATTTTTCATACGTTTAAAAGTTTCATTCATATATTTCTTTTTCATTTGAACATTTTAATGCATCATCATAGAATTTTATCAATGTGAAGTATCATGTTTAAATACTTTGATTGGTACATAACTTTTTCAGCTTGTAATTTCTATGGTGAATGATAATAGTTTGTTTGTTTTTTTTTAGTTTGTTGTGATTGTCACTAATTGGAATATAATTCATAAAATTTGTCCATTGATATTACTTCCATTAAACCTGATTTCATTGATGTCTGGTGGGTTGTGATAACATTAAACCCATTTATGAACGCTAAAAAAATAATTCATTTTCTTTTTTCTGATGTTGTGTGACAACATTAAAATTTTTAATGTTATTCTGTACATGATCATGAGACTTAACTTTTAAGTAGGCGTCTTTCTTTTTTTGCCTGAGATGTAAATATTTCTCCAGCATTTCAATTCTCTTCTACGGGTTAATTTTGATCGGCTAATTGTAGGAAAAACATCCAACTTTGATTCATTTTTGTATTGGTTGCTTGGATCTTCCCATTGATCTTTAGGACTGTGCGTATTACCTCAATATTGTCTTGATTCACAAGCATTATAAGCAAAGATAGATAGTGGCTAACAGTAGAGTCTAAGACGCACGTTTCGTCCTATTCGAGACAAGTCAGTTGGATGTACCTCCATCACAGTGTTGATATTCGTTATGTGACTCGAACTCAGCACCGTTGAATTCAAATACCATCACGTTATCCACTTACTTACTGAGTCCTGATAGTCGTCAGCCTATGCAATGATGTGAAATTTAATTCACTTTTCTATTGGTCGTTCGAATCTTCCTATTGATGTTTAGGATCCCACTACTAACCACCATCCATCTCTGTTTATAATTCAATTTTGAGATAGTTTCCGTGAAAGATTGACCGTAGTTGATGAACCATTGAAAACAGAAATATTCACTGAAACAGATGTTCCATTCTAGTCTAATGTCTTCATCAGACCGTGATGAATGGTTAAATGAATGATTGAATTTACAGTCGTCAAGTCTCACTGTGAGCACATTAATTTTAGATCACTGAATTAAGTATTCAGTGTTTTTATTTATTTTAACTCAATCGATAAACATAAAACACTGGATTTTTTTTATTTAATCCATAATTTAACAATTATTTAATATCATTATTACCATAGATGATAGCTGTTCCCCCTACTGACATAGTTGAACCTTGTCATTAATTTATTTTCACTTGCTTATGAATTTCACAGTTCAATTGTATTCAAATAAATCTACTGATTGGGTAATAATTCTTTTCATTTCAACCTTCCTATATGTTAGGATAATTTCTTTTACAATTGTTAATTTCAGATTGGTTTTAATCAAGTACTCTTAAGTTAAATATCTATAAAATTCACAAATTAGATTGTACAATCGAAAACATTACAGATGTGAAACAAAAAAAGAACTTAGACCATTTTGTACTGTAATGAAGTTTAACAATTATTTCCTAATTTATTGAAGTTAATTGAGCAAACTAATTTCTCCAGTCAACTTATGCTATTTATTCATGTTTAATTTTTTGTTAGTATTTTTTTTGTATAAGCATATTATTAATGTTATCGTAAAGAGAAACCTATTCTTCTGGTTAATAGTTTTTATCTTTGATTTTAAACCATCCATAGGGGGTCAATGTTGATGGCCTGCTTGAGCATCTGGGCTACCTGTTCCTGCTATCTAGACATTTCAACAAGTTATCTATTTTTGTTTGTTTTAATATATCATTATGTTTGTGAATCGCATAACCTATCCTGCTGCGTTTCTGAAAAGTATACAACCTTTCGTTGTCAAAGTTACAAAAAACTCAATAAGAGACAATGTGGTTGCTGGCAATATACAACGGAAAGAATGTACATTATTCAGATGTTCATTTACTGAACTGCTAACATCTAACTGGCGATCACTCAATATTTATCGCCAGGACCGATCAAGAAGAAAGAAACGGAAACTTGTTGAAATACTTTACGCTGAGAATTCTATATTGTACCAAAAATATAATATTGAATAAAGCTGATAATAATAATAATAATCTGGATAAATAATCACCACTCAGTTATATTTTGTATCATAATTGCTTATCATCTATCAATGAACATTGTTAACTTTCATTCTAACAATCATAACTTCATTTCTATAAAATTCTATTTAGTATTTTATTTGTCTTCGAAACAATCACTTCTTAATTATTCTTATATTTCTCTGTTTTTATATTATTTGTTTATTCATTTAGATGTGTGAACTTGTCCGTCAGCATACAGATCAATGGAGTAGTCTAAAATCAACACAAATGAAAGAAGTTTATGATTTAGTGTTGAGCTTTTTCGATTCACGTAAAGATTTATTAATTAAAGTAAGATGAATGATAGAAAACAAAAAATATCAGTATTTTTATTATTCCTGTATCAATATTAATGTTTCATCTAATAACTTTAAATAAAGTACGACAATCTATGGAGAATAGCGTGAATTCGTAAGATTTCGAAGCTCCTCATCATCCACAGCAGAGCTTATAAATTATTACTAATAGTACTATAATAAGCACCGTTTTTCATACAGGAAGTCAATGAATTTTATTTCAAAACAACACGCGAAGAACATTAGGAATATGAGGAAGATTGTTCAGATCCTATCAAGAACGATTAAATTATTGGAGTTTCCTGTTAAACTACATTAAATTCCATTTACCCACATTTGATGATTCTCTTAATACTACGCAATGAATAGGAACCCCAATAGTCGGGATGTCTATCATACAACAAAACTCAAAAGTTAATAGTTCGCATATTAATAGAGGAGATGGAACTTTCAGGAAGTCACATTTGAAGAGAAACGACTCTGTTATGTCTAAAGGTCCTCAGATGTCACAAAATACAAAGTTTGCAAACTAAAAGCCATGATAATCAATCAAGTAGCGACAAATCTTATTATGAAAATTCGAATTAGTAAAATGTTGTCGATGTATTATCCTCTTAAGAAAGAAATAAGATGTAATAATGAAAAAAACTACACAACTATATATCTTTTTAGCAAAGACAAAATATACTTAACGTAGTTGTTTAAAATGATTAGTACTTATATGTTGAAAATGAATTCATAAAAATTAAAGTGTGTTATTATTAGTTGTTGAGATGTTAAATGAGTAAATTGTTTAACAAATGAGTGGTTACATAATTAGGTCATCTGGTTAATGCAAAATCTGTATTAACGTTGTTAGTGAATGGCTGTGTAATGGAAGAATGTTAAAGCATTATGATTATTTTACCATGTCCAACGTCAGGTTGAAGGCTTTCGATCATAACAACCCATCCAAAGTTAACTAAAAGCTTTATTTATTGCTTGTCAATTATTTGAAACGCATTAAAAATATACACACTATATATATACTGTCAATTAAGTGGTTAGTGATCATAAATCTGTGAGAGCATACTTTACTCCTTTTCAAACACAGCTTTCAAATGATAAAGTTCAAAATTTTTCTATGTTGTTTCGAACTTGACTTCATTGTTTAAAGCCAATTCCAGCTTGTTAAGAAGCCTTGAATTATAAACTGAACTCATTTTATGCTGTTATTTCTTTCTTGCTTTACTTTAAAATAGTGTTTATTGTCGTTGTTGTCTTCTGTTGCTTCTTTTCTGTTTCTTCTGTTATTTTTATCGATCTATGATTTGCTAAATAATCTCAGTCAAATCGTACTTTGAAAATAATGTAGGTCTTTTATTTTCATTTTTTGCTAAAGATGAAAATTAATACTCGTAGAATTAGTAAATTTTCTGTTTTCCTTGTTTAAATCAAGAACTGATCTTGGTTTGACCACCACTGAGAATCAAAAGGCACTGGTCTCCTCCATGTGTCCTAGTGAGAAGCTGTGACTAGTGGAATTCAACCATATAGAGTGTGGGAATTTTTCGCCGGAGGGAATGGAAGATAGCTGTAGAATATCTCGAATTGATTGAAGTTAGACATGTACACTATTGGATTCCGACTGAATAGTCTAGAGGTTAAGCGTTCGCACGTAAAATAGCTGTTTATTTTTACAATCTGATGTCAATTCTCGATATAAATTATTTTCGATTTTGATTCTGTCGTATACTTGTTCAGTTATATTAAATTATAGTAGTGTAAAAATTCCTTGTAAAATAAATTGCTAACACTTTGAAAACTAAGTATTGTAATAGATTAACTCATCTTGAAATTGTGTTGCGGTGACCGATTAGGTTGCTATATGCTCTTCCTGCAGTATACCGAGCCCACTATACTCATGAGACGACTACATGAACAACTACATGCTAAACTAAATTACAATGTATATAAATAACAGATATACATCATACCATTTTCCTTCTCACCTACACTAGGATATGTAGGGGTTAGGACCATGGCTAAGTGCAGAATCTACTTCCTCGAATAGCATGTCTCATACATAATGTCTCGCCTACCGTTTGACCTTGGGATAATGTGTGAAAATAGGCATGTGATATCTCTATGCTCTTCAGGGTTGTTATAAAAGTTGACATCTTCATACCATTGCTTTAGAACCTAGTACGACATTTCTCAGGCGTTCACGAATCTACTGAAAATTTTCAGGTCTCATGGAGAGCACTTAACCTGTAGACCACTTAGTCGGCATCCAATGATTTATAGTAGTTTACGGGTTAGGCACTCGCCCCGAGAATTGAAGATTCTGGCTTCGATCTCTAGCGGAGTTATGAACGCTCACTGATGAGATGTCCCACAATACAACGAAAAATCTATCCAATGCATCCTGGTCTTCAATACTTGTTCGACTGTAATCTCTTAGTGAATTAACCAGTACTATTGTTTAAATGTTTTCCTACATATTTTGGTTAACTATTTATTTCATGAAACGTATGTTCTTAGCAAAGATGGATAGTGGCTAGCAGTAGAATCCAGGATGCGCGTTTCGTTCTACTTGGGACTCGTCGGCTGCATGTACCTACATCTCAGAGTTGATGTTCGCTCTGGGACTCGAATCTAGTATCGTTCGCCTGAAACGCCATCACATTATCCGCTTAGCTGCTGAGCCCTGGTAGATCCTTTCACAACCAATAGTCTCACAGTGAGACTTGACGACTGTAAATTCAATCATTCATTTAACCATTCATCACGGTCTGATGAAGACATTAGACTAGAATGGAACATCTGTTTCAGTGAATATTTCTGTTTTCAATGGTTCATCAACTACGGTCAATCTTTCACGGAAACTATCTCAAAATTGAATTATAAACAGAGATGGATGGTGGTTAGTAGTGGGATCCTAAACATCAATAGGAAGATTCGAACGACCAATAGAAAAGTGAATTAAATTTCACATCATTGCATAGGCTGACGACTATCAGGACTCAGTAAGTAAGTGGATAACGTGATGGTATTTGAATTGAACGGTGCTGAGTTCGAGTCACATAACGAATATCAACACTGTGATGGAGGTACATCCAACTGACTTGTCTCGAATAGAACGAAACATGCGTCTTAGACTCTACTGTTAGCCACTATCTATCTTTGCTTATAGTGCTTGTGAATTAGGGCAATAACGATGCAATCTACATAGGATGCACATATGTCAATAAGAGACTGATCAATTGCAGTCCTACACATCATTGGGAAGGTTCAAGTAAACAATACCGAGTAAATATATTTTCTTGTTTAATATTTAGATTATGAAAGAGGTTCAAGAAGAACAGAAACGTGAATTACGCATTATACAAGATCGTGAAGTGAAAGAAATGAAAGCACAACAAACTAAAGCTTCAATTGAATCAAACCGTTCCGTAATGAATGATCGTAAATTACGCAATAAAGCAGAACGTGATCGTCGTATACGCGAATTAAATGATTATAATACAAAACGATTTATAGATCAACGTAAACTACAAGCTCAACGACATGATAAACAAACACAAGAATTAAATAAACGTCATACTTTAGATGAACAAGAAATCATCAACGGAATTAAAAAAGTAATAAATTTGTTTTCATTTCAATTCATTAATTTTTTCTAATAATCTTTTTGATATAACGAATGATTGAAATATTTAACTCTATTACACGTATATTACGATAATACGTTAATAAGACTACTACTCACGTTATATCAGAACCAGGATTCACGACCCAAAATAGGGAATCAGATTAACACTAGAGAATACTTTATTCCTTACAACTACAAGCAGTCACACAATGAATTCATAGTAGAAATGATTAGAAAGAAAATCACATATTTAATAGTCTTTAGGATGTGGCTATTTGTCCAAGCTCAACGACCAATCATATTTCACTTTCACATGTCATCTCTTTGTTTGATGGCGCTTTTGTTTTTACATTTTCAATCAGAGAATTGTGTGACATTATGCGCCGGTGTTGTATACGCGAATTAGATAAATAAAATTTTTTAAAAAAGTAATTACAAGTTCCCATGAACCATCTTCTATTGTTTAATAGTAATCTTGATTATTACCATATCAAGCAAGTGTACATTTTCTGTATCTTTTATTATCTTTGTTTCCTAAGTGGTTGATACATTGTCAGCTATTTTTATGTGCAATATTTATATCTAATAAAATTCATGTATTCAAGCTATTTAAGGTAATATAATAAATTTACCTTGTAAACTAATGCGTTGACACCATTTGATGAATCCTTTCATTTATTTATTTATCCGATATTAAATAAGAGATTTAATTTTATTAAAATTGTGAAAGAAAGTAAAGTTATTTGTAAGCAATGATGGATAGTGGCTAGCAGTGGAATCCAGGACGCGCGTTTCGTCCTATTTGGGACTCGTCAGCTGGATGTACCTGTATCTCAGAGAGTTGATGTTCACTCTGGGACAGTTGATGCTATAGACACGTTTAAAATAGAAGTAATTTTAAAGTAAACACTTTTAGTGTATTAACTATAAAAAAAGTCATACTTCTTCTATACAATTTATATTTATCTTATGCACTTTTTTTCCTTTACACTCCCGTCAGGAACGTGAAGAATTTATCCGTAAATATGAAGAAGATCTTTTAGCTTTGAAACGTGCAACTGTCATCTAGATTCTCATTCAATAACGATAAAAACAAGCATTTCTTTCTGATTGATTTTACTGCATAAACAGATTTCAGTTATTTTGATGTTCGTTTGTTTGCTCATATCATTGTTCTGTTTATTATTCCTCAGGGTGAACACTACTGTCGTCTTTTTCTTCTTGTCTGTGTTGTGATGTGACAGGTGTTTATACTATTTTCTTCAATGTATCATCCTAGTGTTCATGACATAAATTACATTAGCACTATTGATAGTGTCTCAACATTGATTAAGACCAAGAACACAGTATTACTACTGTCATCATCATTATTCTATATGTGGATAAAGTTAATTTCTTATCATTACAAATGTCAAATGCTCACTCCACTAATCACACACACACACCAAACATACTTTTGTAAACGTTATGACTAATTATGCATTGTGACTAGTAGTGTAGAGTGGATATAGACGGAAAATGTTGTATTGTTTTAATTTAATTGATCTACATCAAGTTTATTAGTTTCATGTAACTAGTCAGTGAGTTTCGTCAGTGTTTCCCAACTTAGAAGCTGACTTTTTTTTCGTCAAAAAACAGATCGTTGTACAATCTATTTCCCTATCCCTTCTACTCATATACACTCTCCATTGTTATGTGATTGATATAAATGCTCGGTATTCGTATATACATATGAATCTTCGAGTTGAAAAGTATTACGTCTGTGATATAACTCGCTATCTTTACTTCCGCTCGTTCAAACGTTTTGTTAAATATGTATGTACACATTTTACGGTTGTTAACGCACTCAAAAATACATATATGTTTACATATAATTTGAATGTGTTCTGTGCAATAAACATTTTTCTATTCATATTGAATAAAAAGAAAACACTAGTACTTTCTATGTTTCATTTAGAATGTTGTCTGAAAATATGAATAATAATTATAATAACTGAATACATTTATGGTCATAGATTTTGTTGACAAATCACCTTTACAACTAGATTGTACTATTTACTGTTAGATATTGTATGTTTATTAAAATTGTAGACAATGATTAAAAATATTTTAAACACAATGTACTAATACTAATAGAAAAAAAAACAGGGATCAAATTCATGTGTACTTATATATCATCCATGTATGTTGAGAGTGTTACACAGTGTTTATAATGCAACTAATAACTGCCCTGTTTACACATACACACAAACATACATATTTTCATTTATAAACATTTAGAGGAATTATTTTCTACAATAAAAACACAATCTATTCACTAATGATAGATAACTTGAAAGTCGCAATTTTGTCGTTATTTGTGATTAACTACTGTTGTAATTTTTCCGTCTAGTATTATAATTCTAATTTACTTTTGTTAAAAAGAAATATTTATTGACCATATTTTGTTGTTGTATGTACACTTTCAACAGGATTATATATATTCTTTCAATTCCTTTGCTTTCATATATGTGTGTTTCCAACTTGTAATGGATGATTATTGTATTTGTTGTTTTTAATGTGAAGATTTCTTTTCTACAACAACTAATACTAGTATTGATTTACAAGTAGATAGCTAGATTATACATTGTTTATGGGGAAAAAAACTCAGAAACAGATAAATAATGGATGTTATTTATTCACATGTGGTGTGACTTACATGATCACACTTATTCCATTCTTCTTAAAAGAACTCCTCTATTTCGTTAATTCATTTCTTTCATTTTCAATTGATATAATTGCTTTCTTTTTTTATTCATGTTGTCCTTACTAAGAGATGAAGTAAAAGGAGAACGTCGAATATTACGGCTAATCTTTCCCTCTAAAACTGGATCGTTTTTTCTAAAGTGTCTAGACCTTTGTTTTTCATTTTTTCTCTCGTTTCTTACCTGTTTTGTTGTTGTTACTGTCTGTATGTACATTGTCTTTCGATGAATTTGTTAATAAACAAACTATTCCCACTACTACTAATAATACTAGGTGTATAGATATATACTACTTATATTTGGATATAATAACTAATTATTCCACATAATAAAAAAATATTCGGACAAGTTGTTTTGTTCTATTTTTATGTAACTTGGTATAAGCCCTCACATTTCCCAAGTTATAAACACTATATTGTATCATATTCAACTTTGACAGCGTAGAATAATAGTGGTAAGATTTTTGTGCACCCACGATAATTTCACTTGAATATTGTCAGAATGGTTATTATTTTTATTGCAAAGTTGAACAATAATAACTTATTTGGAAATCAATTACAAAGCATATTCGCTGGGATAATTAGTTTTAAGACACATTATCTATAAAACAATAAATAAAATTATCAGGACATGTGCAGACTTGATTACTTCATGTCTTAATACATGATACATATTGGTTAATGTAAGGCTTTTTTGATATTTGTATTGATTGCATTTACGATCAAACTTATTTAACTGCCAGTTAAGGTATGACTGACTAGATTTATACTTATCAGATATGCTATCTTAACATAAACTGAGAGTTAGGAAGTTAGATTGTTCATTTAAATTTGTGAACACATCAAAAGTTAAGGCATGATTTAATTTCAGCATAGTTCCTATTCATATTTATTTAAAACAATTAGTCCCTTTGATAAATTTCGATAATGATATTAGAAGACGAAGATTATCAGAACTATGTGATATATTAGCGCAATACATTCCGAAATGTATTGCGTTAATATATCACATAGTTCTGATAATCTTCGTCTTCTAATATCATCATATTTATTTATTTGAACACATAAATATTGGGTCAAGGGGACACCAGATATATGTATATGCTACACAAAACAATAAGAATGGGAGGAGAAGAAGGTAAGGTGCGTACAAGAAAAAAAAGAACAATAACGTTCACAGATTAGTGAATGGTGGTGTAATAATAGTAATAATAATGGGGGAAACGGAAAGGTACAATCAGAAGAAATCTTTCAGTTAAGGAAGATACAACCGTTTTTCTTATGAAGAAAGTGAAAGAAGGTTACAGCAGGATCGCCACTGGCTTCTATTCTGAGCCATATCTGATAACGTCTCTAGCCACTGTGTCGGACCATCTCTCGGACTCCAGCCAGGGAGTTGTGAAGGACCAACAGAAGCCAGCCCATTGCAGCTTTCTTTTATACCACGACACCATGTCATACACTGACCAACTCTCCGCTTTTTACAACCAGGATACGACGAGGAACCCTCTGGGACGACATTCGTAGGACATGTTCAAGCCACCGAAGTCGGTGTTTCAAGATGGCGACACCAATTGAATTATCGTCTCTGCGCCCGAACACACGATGCCGAACCTCTTCATTACTAACATGGTGTTGCCACTGGATGTCAACAATCCTTCGGAAACAACGATGATCAAACACAGAGAGAGTCGTCTAACATCCTCAACTCGATGAGGCCAGGTTTTACAAGCATAGAGCAAAACTGCTCTCACCGATGCGCTGTAGATCCGACCTTTTACAGTCAGACTGAAATCACGAAGGCGCCAAAGATGGCCCAGATTGGCATAAGCCTGGCTTTCACTATACATGCATTGATCTCATCACTCACACCCCCACCAGCACTTATGCAGCTACCCAGATACACGAACTTCTCGACTACTTCTATCTGCTCACCATCCAGGGTGAGTACAGGATTAGAATCCTTCCAGCCTTGTAAAAGTACTTTGCACTTGGAAGGTGCGAAGCACATACCGTACCTACGGACACTGATTGCCAACTGATTAAGTGCGGATTGCATGCCTTGGGCATTATCGCACAGTAAGACAATATCATCCGCATACTCAAAGTCGAGAAGTCTTTCTCCATGCAACGGATCCACACCGCCATTACTTACAGCCATCATAGCTGTTTCCAGAATATCATCGATGGCAAAGTTGAAGAGGGATGGTGATATTGGGCAACCCTGTCTAACTCCACTGCTTGAGTGGAACAGCGGAGAGACGTGGTTATATGCCCTCACTCAACCTAAGGTGTTTGTATATAGGGCTTTTAGGCACACACTTCTTCAATAGACAATCCCAGAGAACAGTCCTGTCCAACGAATCGAAGGCAGCCCTGATTTCCTATTCAGACGTCCAGAAGAAACAATACTCGGATGTTTTATTACATTTCTGACACAATTGATATACATACTTAGGGTAATGGCTAAAATTCAGTATGAAAATACTTTGTTGTGATATAAATGAATCAACGGTGTTGCAAATAATTGTTGAGTATGTATACATACTACATCCACAAGTACTACTAGGTCAGATAAAAATATTCAGCAGATTATGGTGTGTAAGACAATTTACTGTAACAACAACCCAGAGTTATCATAAATTATTGACTGAAACATCGATAAAAAATTTTACAGGTATATTATTATCTTAGTTTTAACCCACTTTCTTCATACGTTTGTATTTTTTTAATCCTAAGAAATACGAGAAAGTAAATCACTCTTGATAAACTTTCAGCTGCATGCAGCTCAAGTTCAAATATTTTTTTTATTAATGTCTTATATTTGAATCCATCAGCAATATATAAACACTACGAGCTCCCAATTATTTATTATTAAAATTGAAAAAAATAAACAGCAGAAATGCATGACAAAACACGATATTGTTAACTAATAGTCTTTAAGAAAGCTTTAGTCGATAACACTAATAACAACTAATCCATTATTCTTTAAGCGTGGTTACAGACTTAACTACTTTCTCTGCAGAGTTTGCCTTTGTGGAAATCGGATTGGATGATTGTTGTTTCTTGGAAGGTGCAATCCATTTAAGTTGATCAACTGAGGGTAAATCAGAATGAAGGAAAGGACATTTAGTACGATTAGTACAACCAGAACCATATCGACATGGGATTTGGCTATTGAAAACAGGGACAGTTGAAGCTGAACTTCGAACAATGATTGGAGGGGCTTGAACAACAACAGGTGGATGATAAAATTGACAATGGGGATTTGTACATCTGTTTTGAAAACGGCATACTATTTGAGCTGGGTTGGCAGATACGACAGCTATAAAAACGCAAATAGTAAAATAAACAGATAATTAAAAAAATTCATACTCGTTTTAACGTAGCATACATTAATAAACGGACGGTTTTGTAACCCTACACACTAGTACGTGAAAATTAATACTGCTAGATTAATTCTACAACGTCTCCTATAAGATGATAACACAAAAATTGGGATGTTTAAGTAATGGTTCTGATTAACAATATAAAACTCATTAATTCAAATTCATTTACTGCGAATGCATAGTTATATCAGACGTACATAGGTTGTTTTTAATGAAAATAAAGTTGTTGTTATTATTACACGTGAAATATTGTCTGGAATTTGGACGGCATGGTCTAAAAGTGTTTACCACGATGTTTAGACATTAGTATTTGGTCAAAAATAATATTACCTATAAAACCTAACTTTCATTCCAGCTAGATACTGGGTGATGTAATCATTTGAACAGGTCCATGATTGTGTTAGGTTCTCGCCATATACAGCTTCATTTTTGTCTTTGTTTTATAATCTTTCAAATTTTTATTACGGACACAAATGTGGTGTTGGTATTATATGAAGGGGATTTATCAAGTATTGCTTTATTAAATAATATCAACAATTAAACTATCGATAAATGAGTAAACTACATTAGAGAATCATATAACTAGATGAATTAGTTAAGGTTAACATTTCCAATTAATAGAACGGTCTTGTATTTTGTACTTGGCTTCAAGTAATGCTAATATCAGAGCACAAATCTTTCTAGATTTTACTTTTATCTATGTCTTTGAGACATATACAATTAAGAAAAGATACCTATTTTAAATGTAAATTAGGATTTCTTACTTTTAACTTTAGATATAGATATACTTGCAGTATTAGATGGTTTGGTAAAAAAAATCATCAGGTGGTGAAAACCACATATAATAATGTAAGATTTACAGGAAGACAATTGTAGCTTATGTGACAAAATAAACAAAGCTGTCAGTACCATTGCAATGAAATTTTCCGTTATGGTTTATTTTTGTTGCTAAATGTTTTGGAAATATACATTTCTAGTGATTTTACGATCAGAGTTATCGGAATAAATTTAAATTCTGCTAACGAAATATTTAGACTTGAATTAAAACGTGCAATTTTCAGGTTTATCCCAACGAAGAGTAAATGGATGGTAACCGTTGAGTTATTTATGGACTATCATTACATATATTCCTATTGAAAAATTGTTAAGTAACTAGATTATATATATCATTTGACTATTATACGACTTACCACTCTTAATTTATTCCCAGTCTATTAGTTACAGTCTTCCATACTTACAGCTACTTTTGGCTTGATCTTGTATAACTAATACTTTACACTTTATGGTGTGACGCAGCCTAGTCTGCTTGTATAACAAACAAGGTATGTCTGAAACATAAGACTCAAACAGTGGAGGCTAACATTTGTGTTCTAGTCTGATCTGGCTCAACTAGGCGTGAAGCTACTATGTTGAAGACTAATAAGGATTCCGAGTTGACACTCAAGGCTGCTCATGATTGTTAACGCGTTGTTAGTTTAGCATAGGGACAAGGTCATAGAAGTCGGTATTTTGATCGGCGATTTTGTTACGTGATATTTGACGGACCATAAGTCACAATAGTACGCGTTACACTTACATAATGCCAAACAATGTCCGAAAATAAACCCACATCTTCATTTAGAACTAAACAAAAAAGAGATGTTTTTCTAGTTGGCTGTCTGAATGGCAAACCCAGTGGTATTATGATGGTGAACTAGAATTCATAAAAAACAATCAGTCGGCAACGGCATCATCACATATATATATAACACTTACGCAATACTTTTTTCGATGAATGTGTGAAAGCACAGTCAGGGCGACTACATAATGCTCCATAACGACATGGTGGATGGACAAATGTACATGTTGCTCCAAATTTACATCGTGGAAACAACTGGCATGGTTCTGTGGGATGAATGTACTGACAGGAACTACCATTGCGACAATTAGGCCAGAATTTACAACGCTCCAATGAGCTA